CACTGCTCTGCGTCCTTAATTTCAAAATAAAACTCAAAATCAAAACACAAATACTAACTACTCTCACTCTCGTCGCGGCTCCCAGGCAAGGGCGCACCTTTCTAATCCGCTGATCTAAACAGATTAGTACCCAATGGCCATCTCGCATACGTATCTAACTACGCTAACAACACCCGCTTCTTAAATGGACTTGTCTATCCGTCCTTTTACTGGCCGTATACCGTGGGTATGATGAGTAGTGGCCTTCGACACGTTAGGTCGATGACTCACTCGCCCGTGCCTGAGTATAGCAACGGCAACACAACTATGCTACAATTTTCGGCCTCGTATCTCTCTCTCGATCGGCGCTCTCTGTGAACCCGAGATGAGGAATGTAAACAAACACCGCTCGAGCCGCGGCTCAACGCAGCTCGGCCGATCGTTCGATCACCTCCCCTCTCGGCGTCAACCGACCTTTTCAAATTCTTTTGTCTACGCGAATTACTTTTCTGTTTTAGAATTTCGCGTCCTGTCTCTCTTTCTCGCGATCATCTCAAACCCGATTTCCGCGATTTCCCCACAAGGGATGCCATGTAACACGTACGTTAATAATTTAAGCCCGAACAACGTTGCGTCACAAATTATTTAAGGGGAAAGGCTCGGAAGGCGCATTCGCTTCGTCGCGAAAATTGAACGAGGGCTATGTCGTCCGGTAATATCGATAAACGCAATTTAATCAATTACAGAGAGACAGGTTTTAACAAAATAAACTCATCAATTCAACTACTTTACTCTTTATTGCTACAATAATATACATTTGGCGTTGACGTGTGCGTCGGCCGAGTCCGGGTTAAATTCGTTCCGTGCGAATTAACGCACAGGAAACAGAACGTCACCTTACAACGTATCTCACGAATTCCGCGAGGGCGATGCGAGTTCACGCATACAACCGCTCGTCCGCGTCCGGCCTATACGATGCCAGGAGAGAGAGAAATCGAGGCGCGCACCGATAAACTAAAAAGGGTACCTGACCTTGAGAGGGAGCGCTGCTGCGGAAGTCCGCGTCCTCCGAGCAAACGATGTTATCTTCGAAAGGCGGGATTCTGGATGCAGCCGGTCTTCCTTCTTATTGATGGTCGTTCAATGGCAATCAACCACTCGAACACTCACTGATGGTCATTCAATGGCAATCGACTCTTCGAACACTCACTGAGGCTAGTCACAAGGCTCGAATAGCTAGCAATTAGTCACTGGTCGAAACCCTACTGCCCGCGATCTCGCGCCTTCCGCGCTTTCTTACGCGCCCCTCCCTATAGGTACTCAAAACGGCCGAGCGCCGCCGGCTACGCACACATGTGCGGCTCATGCCGGCGACACTATCTCTCTCTCTCCTCCTCTGCTCTCCGCCTATGCCTATGCCTATCCCTCCAGCGCCAGGCATCTCCGCCGATCAGGAATCAGACCTGAAACAAAGCCACATCGTGCGTCGATACTCGGTTTTACTCAACCAAGACCGATGTGGCAGCGGCTCAGGGGAAGGCACGCGGAAGAGAGAGAGAGGCGAACAGGGCGATCGAATCTAATGATCGATTCGCCCGTCACAACGTTTAATAAATATATGTTCTTTTCGTAAGTCTTCGTTCTAGGTGGATACCTAGATATTTTACTTGATTGCTCTGCAGAATACAGGGTGTTTCATTTTAATCCAACCACGCGCATAACCTAGTAAAAACAAACGTTATCAAAAAATGGTCTCTACAAAAGTGCCGGGGCCACCAAATGCTACCATCAACTTTGATCCTTAATATGTTTTTCACGGTCATCTGAAGGTCAAAGTGCTTTTTTGAATAGGAACCCCTATTTTTGACCATGGAATCGTATAGAGCGGGAAAAATTGCATCCAAAATGATATTTCAAGTTTGTATTTGTGACCTGAGATGGTCAATTAACCTGTTAACCGAGCGGGACGTATAAATGCGTCAAAAGTAAACAATATTGGGTACGGGTAGGACATATGAATACGTCCTCGATATTTATATTGCGCCCTGGAACGAGCGGGACGTATATTTTACTACTACTATGGTAATACGTCATTCATACATGTCTTAATGGAAAAGGACGCGCCCGTTATATGTTGCATAATTAGAAAGGAAATTTCCCCGGTTAACAGGTTAAAGGTCAAATGCTCAAAAAACTTTATTTTTGTCAAAACGATGTATCTGTACAATTTATTTATTAAATTAATTAATTCTCTGATTCTTCATTATGAATTTATCCCTTATTTATTATTAAAGTAGATAATTTTTTTCAGTTAAAAATAATTTTTCTTATTGACTTTGACCCCTGCTTATTGTTACATACAGTTTAAATTTAATATAGTACTACTTATTGAATAGTTAAACTAATTAAATTTCTTTTGTTCAACATTGTTTTCTTCTTAAATTTAATAGTCGCAGAAAAATTATCTCATTTTTTTTTTACTTTGTTATAATCTAAATTTTCACTATTGCTGATTACCCAGCGGCTGAAAGGGTTGATATTCTATTGGTTTTTAGTGAATGTAGGCGTAATTATCGACAAGCTGCTGCTTTTTATCGAAATCGATATCCCGACAGGAGACATCCGAGTCATACAACAATTCGTAAAATTTACCGTAAAGCTCAACAAGGGCAATTAGCCCAGGTTAGAGAACGTCGTAATTACAATGAAGAAGATATTCGTGCAGTAGTGGTTCTGGCATTGGTTCATTTAAATCGTAACATCAGTACCTCTGACATTCAAAGGCAAACTGGTCTACCAAGTTTATGGTATATCATCGTTATCATCAATATCATATCACTTTGACTCGAGCCATCACACCTGCTGATATGAGATTACGTCTACAGTTTTGCCAATGGGCAGGACAAATGATTGCCAAAGATCTAAACTTTTTTCGATACGTCATGTTTTCAGACGAAGCAAACTTTCAAAGCAATGGCCAGCTTAATTGACATAATTGTCATTATTGGTCGGATATTAATCCGCATTGGCACAGGCAGATAGATAATCAAAATCGATGGAGCCTTAACCTATGGAGTGAAATTGTTAATGGATACCTTATAGGCCCGTACTTTTTCGATGGAAATACAAATATGCATAATTTTTTACAGTTTCTGAGAGACTATCTTCCAGTTCTTCTCGAAGAAGTAGATTTGAACACAAGATTAAGATGTGGATTCAATTAGATGGAGCTCCTGCACACTACGCTCGAATAATTAGATAACATCTCAATCAATATTATCATGACAGGTGGATTGGACGCACCGAGCGTGAAGATTTTGGTGTTCGATGGCCACCAAGATCTCCAGATTCAACATTACCTGATTTTTATTTGTGGGAAAATTTAAAAGATATTTTTTATGAACCCGAACCAACAAGAAGAGAAGACATGATCCAAAGAATTCGAACTGCTTGTGAAAACATCCCAAGGACTGTATTACTCAGAACAGTAGAACAATTTCAGCAGCGAATACAATTATATATTTAAGAAAATAGTGGCATCTTTGAAAACCTACGTTGAATTCTGAAGAAAAGTGAAAGGCAAGGGGACTCACTCTAATAAAGCACCCCAAAGAGAACACAATCCTATTACGTCCACGTCGTTGTTCCTAGGTGATGCTAATGGTAGGTTAAAAATTTGACCTTCAGATGACCTTGAATATCGATAATAGGGTCCTTGATAAAAAGAATTTTCTGTTACAACAAGCACTGTGACTTTCAAATGACCTTGCAAAATGGTTTCAAAGACAGCATGGCATTTTACACAATTACTTTCAAAAGATTTCTTTACAATATTTATTCTACCAAAAAATTTAAAAACCAGTTATTAGGAGGTTTTTTGAGCATTTGATCTTTAATTGACCTTCTCAGGTCACAAGTACAAACTTGAAATATCATTTTGGATGCAATTTTTCCCGCTCTATACGATTCCGTGGTCAAAAATAGGGGTTCCAATTAAAAAAAGCACTTTGATCTTCAGATGACCGTGAAAATCGAATTAAGGGTCAAAGTTGATGATAGCATTTGGTAACCTATTCAGCCCCCTACAACTTTTGTAGAGGTCATTTTTTAATAACCAAAAAACTACAAAATAAAAAAGTTAAAAGATGGGCATTTATATCGGTGGATTGACGAAGAGATGAAGTATAATTAAGAGCTACGTATAAGCCAATCAATAAAGCTTTTTTCGTGACATTAATCCTATCAACAAACTCACTACACAGAGTTGTTCATTGCAATGCGTAGATGAAAAAGTATATGTTTCGCATGCGTTGCCAACTCGCAATTTTCATTAAATAACTTTTTATAGCCGTTTCAAATTTGCAAAAACAGATTTTTCGCGTATAAAACAGAAACTATCAAAGTTATGTGTATACCTCAATGGACAAAGTTATAGATAATAAAATTATCTTTAAAATGAGTTATCGCTCGTTTGAATCGAATAATTACACAGGTATACAAATAATAGGTGATTTTCTGTATCACAAGCGAGCTATAATATTCCCGAAGAATTTTGGTGCGCTGAATCCAAATCTGGCCTCAAAATTGTTCCATCACGTCAGGTTTTTGAGATTTAATTTGACATTTTGACATTTACTACAGGAAAAATACATATAAAAAATTTTTGCCTAAAATTGTTTAAGCTAGCGGCGTTTTATTGCAAATGTTTCAAGACTTTTTTCTAAATATTTCTCCACAAATAGATTTCAATATCATGTTTACTTTGATATTTTATTTTACTGTTTGAACCTAACATGCACTTATAAAATTAAAATTTGCGAGCAACAACACCGTCGGCAAAGCATCTCTTAAACTTTAAGATCACAGACCTCACAATTTTCTTTTATACTTGTAACATTACTTATGAGTGCCCAAACACCGGTCCGAGAGTGACGTTCACACCCGAAACGAGTTGATAGACTTCATGAATCTTAAAATTTTATTTTTTATAGATAATTGTTAAATTATTTTACTTTTTTTAGACGAAACAACAAGCATTACCCAATCAAGGAGTATGGGATATGCGAGGTAAGCAATTTTTCACTGGAGTGGAAATCCGAGTATGGGCGATAGCATGTTTTGCTCCACAAAGAACTGTACGTGAAGATGCATTACGAGCTTTTACTTCACAACTCCAAAAAATTAGTAACGACGCTGGAATGCCAATAATAGGACAACCATGTTTCTGCAAATACGCTACTGGGCCTGATCAAGTTGAACCAATGTTTAGATATTTAAAGTCTACTTTTCAAGCCTTACAACTCGTATGTGTAGTTCTACCAGGCAAGACACCTGTTTACGGTAAACTTTTTACATATTTATATTATTTTGTTAATGTATTTTGTTTTATTGTCAGTAGAACAGAAACTTTGTAAAAGTTACCGTTAAAACTGATAATATTAAAAAAAAACATTCATACAAAATTGAAAACTGTTTTTCTTGAATGTTGTTTGTCTGATGAGATACATAAATCTACGGGATAGAGAATATCAAAATATTCTATAACTACTTCTAGTGCACATTCTGTCGAAAATTACGCTACGTGACTTAATTAAAAATAAGCGACTTAGTTTATCGCAAGAATACTACGAACATTTCTCACACGTTTTTGATGCGTTGAATACGCTAACCTCAGTATTCCTCTATCACGACAGATTCTTGAGATATTTTAATCTAAAATTTAAAAAAAAAATGTTTTTTGTCATGTTTGAGTTTATATTGCATCGCGGATTAATAATATTTTTTTTTCAAAAACGGGTTCTATCATTTGAATGTATCACTCTTACCCTTTAAAACCCTTTTTTAATTTTTAAAAAATCTTTTTTTTTTCTCGAGAAATATCGTTGATTGAAATTTAGTATTTTTTATGTCGTTACAGCTTTGTAACGAATAAGATTTTTCCAGAATGCAAATAAATAAACTTTTGCGTTTGTTAGGTGGTTTAATACGAATTTCAAGACAGTATTTTACTCGACGTACTACAACGTAAGTGCACAATAACCTCTACAAACGTTATACTTGAGATAGATTGACCTAAAGGTGCGTTGGGTACAACGAGAGTTAAACCGTCGACAAGTAAACCTAAGCATGATGTAACCTGCAAAGGGTAGACCCAAATAATATAATTTTTCTACGAGCGATTTAACCGGAGAGTTATGAATTTATATAACTTAATGGGTTAACAATCCATTGTTTTATGCCTTTACATGACGGATACACGCTTTCCTTCGTTTTATGACTTTTAGGCATCTAATATTTCAGGCGCTTAACATTTTACCTTCCTATATTATAATTTGACCTTCACTCATTCATGCAGGATTCATGGAATCTGATCTTTTATTTTCATTTTAACTTGATTTGAACTTCTGACACCACTTTCTGCCCACAGTGCTTTTCAGAATAGTTGGTAGTTTCAGTGTTGCGACTATAAACCAAGTGTAATCTTCCTAACAGTCCTTTTCAGGATAGTGAAAAATCCTTTTCGTTCTCAGTTTACTTATTTTTACAATGGTCCTTCTCAGAATAGCTGGATATTTCTGCAACTTTCTTTTCCAATATGTTTTCAAGGGCAGCTAATTTTTTTTGCTAATATTCAGATTTATTACAATATCTCATCGAAGTTGCACTATAGATTTATAGTACCTTCTTAGGTTCAAGTCTCCATCCTGCCCTTATTATCGTTCTAAACTGCATAAATATGTTTAGCACCTTCCTATTTTGTTGTTGTAGGTGTTATATCTAGCTTAGTTGCTTATCTACGTAAACTCTTAGATATTTTACCCCTTCTGCATACGGTACCTTTTCCCGTAGAGGTTATTTCTCTAGTTATTCTGCTTTTATATTTGATAGAGGAAACTACCATTTCTGTCTCTGAGGTTGACCGCCAGAGAGCTCGATTGATGCCATGTTTGCACTCATTTTAAGATCCTTTGCATAAGGTCCGACAGAACCTCTTCATATTTCCCTTTAACAGATATTCCGAAGTCATCTCCATAACCCTTCGCTATAACTTCTTTTTTGCCCAGTGCCAGTATTAGCTCATCAATGACCAGGTACCACAGTAATGATGATAGAACTCCTCCCTGAGGGCATCCCTCATAGATTATTTCTCGTAAAATTTTTCCTTTCTATTAACTATACATGGTTCTGTTACTCAGCATATTTCCCATCAGCCGTCTGACTGATATAGGGACCTGTCTGAGTTCTAGCGCGCGGTCAATGTTGTTCCTTGTGGTATGCTAAAAGCACCCTCAATATCTACAAAGGCTCCTATAACGGTTTCCTTAATATCCAGTGCCTTCTCAATGTGGCTTACCACTAAGTGTAACGTAGTCTCGGTGGATTTACCCACCATGTACGCATGCTGTCAAGTATAGAGGCCGTCTTACCTATACTTCTCCCCTGATGTATACGTCCACTAGTCTCTCTTAAATCTTCAGTATGAAAGATATCAAGTTTATAGGTCTGAAGCTTCTATTATCGAGTAGTCATTTATGCCAGATTTTGGAATGAATGATATTCGTGTTTCCTTCTACTTTTCCGGTATGCATCATGTTACAATACAACCTCTAAAAATGCCCGTAATCAACCCCAGGACACTTTCGCAGCCTTCCTGTATGATTTTTGGTAAGATACCATCAGGCCCTGCGGTCTTATACGGTTCGAAGGTATTTATTGCCTATTTCACCTTTTTTGGAGTTGCTATTCGTGCGGCGGTCTCCCAGTCCCTTGGTGCACAATTCACCTTTTCTAGTCGATTAGTTCAACTATCATTTTCTTCCTTGTTGAAATCAGGAAAATTAGTCTTCAGTAGGAGTTCTAAGGTCTCCTCTTCTTTTTCTGTGCAGGTGCCCGATTCAACCCTAAGACTTTGTAGACGGGCACTGTTTTCCTTTGTCAGTAGTCTGGCTATTTTTGCCGTATCTGACAAACTTTCAATGCTTGTACAGTATCTCTACTATGTCTCCATTTTGGTTTTACTAACCTTCTTCTTGAAGTTTTTCAGGGTTTCTTTATACCCTTTCTAACCTTCAAGAATGTTTACCTTTTTCGCCATCTTGAATGCTTTGCGGGCTTTTCTTCTTATAATTTTAATGTATTTATTCCACCATGACGTATCACTTGTCTGTCTATTAAGTTTAAGTCGACAATTATTCTCATACGATTTTACCATGGCATTTTGAACGATTTCTATAGTTTCCTCTTGATCCGCTCTGGTGCCATATTTACCTTTGAGATGTGCCAGTCTATGTTCTAGCTCTTCCTTATATTCTTTCTAATTAGTATCTTTGGTTTTCATCTTAGGCATTCTTATCGGTTTGAGGGCCTCGATTCCGAAAGTTATAGTCCTATGATCTGACATGGATAGTTCGTTTTCCACTCTCCATCAATGTGATTTGCCCTTAATACTCATTAAAATCAGGCTGAATTCCAAAACTTCCCTTCTATTTGAAGTTATAAAAATTAGCTCGTTTCCCCTGTTTGCATTGTCTATTTGTCTATCTGTAAGGTATTCCAGTACGCTTGTGCCCCTTTCACTGATACCGATGCTCCCCCATACAGTATCATGTGCATCGGCGTCGCATTCAATAATCAACTCGAGGTTTTTACGACGACAGTATTGAATAATCTTTCTCATCCTATTTGTTGGTTTTCCATCTTTATAAGGAAGATCGACGGAGGAGATGATTACCACCATACCACTAACGTTCTTATCCTGAAGTTCTATCCTGATAGTTATACAGACCCTGGAGCTTAAATCCTGTAACAGAAAACCATTTATATTTTTGATGCAAATACATGTCCGCGCATTCCCGTCATTGCTCCTAAAAAAAAGTTCTCATCTGTTTGTCGTCAGTCTTCTAATACGACCCCGCGATAACCGGGGTTCTTGTATTAGTGCTATATGTGTCTGCACTCTTCCCATGCTCCTTGCTAAAAGCACAAAGACGCTTTTGAAGTGGTGCAAGTTACGAGGATGGATCAATAAGTCCTTAAAAAAATATAGAAAAACAATTTTTTTTTATTTTTCAACATCTTCTTATAGCTCGATATACTTTTCCAGGTGTCCTGCAAGTTTTTTAAGCCATCAGAAAAAAATAATTTTGGAAGTTTCTCAAAATAGCCATTTGTTTGTGTTATGACCTCCTCGTTCGACATGAATTGTTGTCCAGCAAGCTCCTTTTTAAGGTTTGGGAATAAAAAAAAGTTACTATGGTTCAAATCTGGTGAATATAGTGGATGATTTACTAATTCGAACTTCAATTTCTTAATTTTAGTCATTGAAACTAAGCAAGTGTGTACTAGTGCATTGTCTTGATGACACATAATTATTTTTTATTCAAATGAGGATGTTTTTCTTTTATTTTCTCGCTTAATCGGTCTGACAACGATGCATAATACTCACCGATGATTGTTTGTTCTTTTTCTAAATAGTCAACGAAGATAATTCCACTTGCATCCCAAAAAACAGTGGCCATAACCTTACTGGCAGATTTCACTCTTTTCGCCTTCTTTAGAGCTGGTTGACATTTCACAATCTACTGTTTTAACTGTTCCTTCGTTTCAGAAGTGTAGTAGTGTATCCACGTTTCGTCTACAGTTATGAATCGACACAGAAAGTCGTCCCAATTACGGTGGATGCGCGCCGACTGTCACTATTAAATAGAGTGCTGCCGAAGTTTCAGCCAGATTCATCGAGTAGTTCCGTTTTTATCGTCGATCAAAGTGAACAACTTTGGTTTCTTGTTATTAATGGAAAATGTGAGTTCCGAGCGGTGATAAAACATTTCTATTTAAAAGGCTTTATACCAAAAGAAATTAAAGCTGAGTTAGATGTAGTTCATGGTGTATCTGCCTCTGTGTTTGCAACTGTTTACAATTGGGTAAATGAATTTAAACATCGACTGTAGATGAACATCGTTCACGTCGTCCTGTGGACGTGGGCACTCCGGCAATGATCAATAAAATTCATGACTTGGTGTTCAGTGACCTAAGAATAAAATTCCACGAAATAGTTGAGATAACAGGGGTTTCAAAAGGTACAGTCATTTCGATTATGAATGAAAAATTGGACATGAGAAAAATTTCGGTAAGACGGGTGCCGCGTTTGCTCTCAGTCGAGAAAAAGACGCAGTCGAGTGGTGGCCGCTGATACCCTCTTGGCGCGCATCCATCGTAATCGGGACGACTTTCTGTGTCGATTCATAACTGTAGACGAAACGTGGATACACCACTACACTCCTGAAACGAAGGAACAGTTAAATCAGTAGATTGTGAAATGTCAACCAGCTCCAAAGAAG